CTTGTAATTCATATCAAGTTGAAAATAATTATCTCCTTTTATTCTCCACTAAAATTATTTCTCCAGTTATCGAATATTAGTTTTTCATACGTTGTAAGTGTTTTCTAATCCTATGCAATCTTGTCCCTAAGCCCCTTGTAATCTATATTCGTACCTTCAAACTTTCATATCAAGTTGAAAATTATTATTTCCTTCGTTACTATGTGGAATTAAATAAATAATAATTGTATCCATGTAAACTAATGTATGTTTAAATGCGATTGTACAGCTGTTTTTGAGAATGAAATTGCCGAAAAGATATCTAAAACAATTAGTTCCCTTTTGTGAATTTAGATAAAGCAATAAGAAGACATAATTTGTCTGAATTGTGTAATGAGCATTTGCGCAACACATTTCGAACAATCTGATCACACACAAACTTGTCATAGGAATAGACTACTACATAGAAAATAGACTACTTAGGTCAAGTTAAAAGGACATATTCAAGGTCATAATAACAATGAAGACCACTAAACCGAATAGCAGAGGTAATAGTACATCTGGTATGTAATCAAAACAGAGTTCACCAAGGAAGGTGTAATCTGATGACGAATTGTTTTTTGAACGCATAAAGGTGGTTTAAACTTTTTAATTGCTTCCACAAACTTTAGAATACTCTCCAAGCACGTTTTATACGTAGGTTTAAAAGATCTTTTAACGTCATTTTTATGTCCTGTCTGTTTAATATGTTTCACAAAAGAGAAGCTACGTCTCTTGTTCTCACCACTAATGGATTCTGAAGATTCCATTTGTTTTTGGAGCTATTTAGGAATATGCTCTGAAGCCCTTACTTGCATAGATCGATGAGTCCTACATATGTTTGTGTGTCCAGACGTACATTCAAATTGGTAAATACATTGGGATGTGACATCATTTTTCGCACGTTCGAAGGGCTTAGATAGATATAATGGCTTTACATTCTCCATTATCATGATATTAGCTGCATAAAAAGTCTTTTTAACAGAAGCGTTAAGTCTTTGTCTAGTTATCAACTTGCTATGATGCCCATATAGGGTAGCTTGATGCACACATCTTTCTTACGAGCGAGTTGTACAGTGGGTCTTGGCGTTTTGACGACTTTATATCTCCTGATGAACTTGTCTGGTTAATTATTATCAACCAGAGTTTGTGTCGAATTTCTTTCTTCTTCATTAAGTGTGTCTTCAGTGCGTGTGTTCGGAATGTGTTACGCAAATACATTATACGATTAAGATAAATTACGTCTTCTTATTGCTTTATCTGAAAAGATATCTTTTGCTGAACTTCTTGGTCTTTTCCCTCTAATGTCCCGATGGGTATTTTCCATTACTTTAAAAAACGCATAGATTTAAGACCGGGAGAGAAATATAAAGTAGTATGACGATGGGTCAAAATAATTATATAGGAAAAAACAGTGATCTAGCAAAGATAACCAGGCTTTTAAATCTGAGGACTACAAGCCTATTCTCAGCAAATGATTAATACAAATTTTTAAAAAAAGTTTAGAAACAGACGTTAAATATAGTCGTTAAAAATAGTCGTTAAATATGGTCGAAAACGAAACCTGGTCCGGTCGCTTGCCACTCGTATTCGACGCATATGTAGCACTGATACTATGGAAGATGAGTTATACACTTTGAGGAAAATCCTAATGGAAAATGGATCTCCACCACGTTTTATAGATAAGAATATACATTCAAAGCCTACAAAACGTGACTTATCAACCGCTCCCAAGAAAACAGTTTACATGAGCTTAGAATTCAAAGGGGACTTAGCTTTCGATATCATGAAAGGAAGGATATCACAGTCCCTGAAAAGAAAATTCCCTGCTGCCTCTCTGAGAATAGCTTTTACTAGCCGACCATTATTGTTCAATAACCTGAAGGACAAGATCCCAATGTTGACCAACTCTATGTGCGTTTATCAATTCACCTGCTCTTGTGGAGCTAGGTATATCGGTCGTTCGACTCAAGTTTTGTCCAAGAGGGTGCAAGAACATTATCCTGCATGGCTGCGAAAAGGTGGAAGTGGAGCAATAAGAAGCGCGATCATAGAACATCTGGTCGATAATGATCACCCTATCTCTATAACCTGCGCCTTTAAAGTCATCTACAAGGCAAAGAGTAATCTACCCAAATCCCTACGTACCCGACTCATCTGTATTGCTGAACCTTTGGCTATCGAAACAGAAATGCCAGATCTCTGTGTACAGAAAAAGTTCGTTCAACCCCTCCAACTTTCATGGTCTTAATCACTCTATGCTAAAATATGATAATCATATTTTAGCTCTACCAATTTTTCATTTTGTCTATTCAGTTTGTATACTCTTCCTTATTAAGTCAATTGTTACTATTACTACTCTCACTTTGAACTGTCCCCCGTATTATTTCACTTGTTCCAGTTGTCATTCTAAATCAATTGCTTTTAACAACGATAAATTCTATGCTATTAAATTCCACACAATATTACGTAACATTTTTGTTTTATTCGACTTGTCTACTAATCCTGTAATTGCACACCCATTTTCAAGTTCTATCCATCCTGTGAATTATTCTATATATGACAATAATTTGCTTTGCCACTTGACATTTAACTACGATTATAATCACAAACATTTTAGTTTTAATTGAACTTCATATGATTATTATTATTATTTTATGCATTCACACCTAAGATTCAATTCCCTCACCGGATATAACTCCTTTAAAAAAACCATATATATACGACTGTAAAGCTTGATGATAAATTCGTTGAAAAGAGTCTCTTCGCTGAATCACTTGTTTTGATTTTCTAAATGTTACAATGGGAATTTTCCATGAGTTAAAAAATATAGATATGATGGAGAAGATTTGTAGCTCAGGTGGATGATTTTGGTGTGGTTGTCTTCTCTCAGCTGGATAGTTAATTTGCGAAGCTTTCATCGCCCCACCACTAGGCAACATCTTCAGGGCACACTTCAATTTGTTGAAGTTAGCTTTTAGATTTCCCCACGAGTTTATTAATCATCTCTCCTGGTGATCTTGGATGTGATTAGTTGTTTTTGTGTGTTTTCACACCTTCTGGGCTACTTTTATTGGAAGTGATTGTTTCTGATTGAAAGCTCTGGAACTGATTGGAAGTTCAAGTCAAAGAAACAATCAGTTCCAACGTATATGCTATCAAGATTTCTCTCTACAATACCAAGACCGACGAGAGACAACTCAAAAGCTAGAATAGTAGATTCATTTGAAATAGTGAGGCGACTAAAAACCACTAAAATAGAGGAAGAGGAAATACTAGTCAGCTTTGATGTAAACAGTCTCTATACGAAAATACCCATTCAAATGGCCATGAATGCTCTGAAAGAGAAACTAAAAGAAGATAATGGCCTGAAAGACAGAACAGAGTTATCCGTAGAAGAAATAATAAAAGGGGTAGAATTCTGTCTGACAACAACATATTTCACATTTGAAGGAAAAGTATACCAACAAAATGAGGGAGTAGCTATGGGATCGCCTATCTCACCAATAATAGCTGACATATTCATGGATTATTAGGAAGAGAATGCCCTTAAACCATTCAGATCATCACTAAAATGTTGGTGGAGAAAGGTAGACGACACACTAGTAATAGTGAAAAAAAACGATACTGAGAAACTTTTCTCACACATAAACAGCCACGTCGACTCAATAAAATTCACTATGGAATTAGAGAATGGAATTGAGGAACTGCCTATGTTAGACTGCAAACTACAAAGAATGACAGATGGTAGCATAAAAAGGACGATATATAGAAAAACCACGCACTCTGGAAGATTCCTTGATTATCACTCAGCTCATCCACTCACGGGTAAAACGAGGATTAATACAAGGTCTTGCAGATAGAATACGTAGAATTACGACAACACCAGAGGACCAGTGTAAAGAAATAAACGTCCTATTCAAAATGCCACTCGAAAACAACTACCCTAAAGAATTTATAAAACGTAATATAGAAAAGATAAAAAAGAAGGTAAAACCGGAGAATAACAAGATGGAAGAATGGAAAAAAACAGTCGCAATACCATATAAAAATGGTACATCAGAGGCAATTCAAAGAAACCTCAAAAATATCGGCATTCGAACAACCTTTAAACCGACGAATCTAATCAAAAATAAAATAAATCAACTGAAAGATCCCATAAAAATGATGAATAAAAGCAATTTGATTTATAAAATATCTTGTGCTGACTGTCCAACTAAATATGTGAAGCAAACGTCCAGATCACTCAAAATAAGAGTGAATGAATATAAACGCCTAACCAAAGGTCAACCAACAGGGACACAAGCCTACAAGAATCTTGAAAAAATTCATCGATAGCTGTACATGCATGGGACGAAAGCCACAATATCGATTGGAACAATGTATGTATTCTGAAAAGTAACATGAACAAATGGAAAGAAACTTATAACAGAATCGATAATCATTAAAGTCACACCGGTTACATGTAAAAAGGGTGACTCAACAACTTGAATACAAAAACATGAATGAGCAAAAAAAAATAAAGAACTATATATATGAGTACAAATCGTAAATGTGTGAACAAAACAATTCCAACAGTGGTGTGAGCACGGGCAGTAATTGTGCTCGAAATATTACCAATAACAAAACTTATAATTGTGCGCAAACTATTGAAATATAATTATACTTTATTTAATCTAATCCATAATGCTCAAACTTTTTACTGATATTAATCCAATAAAGGTGTGAAAACACACAAAAACAACTAATCACGCCCAAGGTCACCAGGAGAGATGATTAATAAACTCGTGGAGAAATCTAAAAGCTCACTTCAGTAAATTGAAGTATGCGTTGAGAATGTCGCCTAGTAGGACGGGCGATGAAAGCTTCGCAAATTAAGCATCCATCTTGGAGAGCATAACCACATCAAAAAAAAGACGTTAAGTCTTAAGGATTTATGAATATTTTCCAAACTCAACTGGTTACAGAAACAAGATACTTACTCCAATCGTGTTTTTGATAAATTTTTGATAAATCAAAATTAACATTTGTGCTTCCCGCGATTATTTCATTATTTTTATCTGTATTTCGTGTAGGAAATGTCTACAATTTAACTGAATTAAAGTCTTACGCCAACTGTCAGCTTACCACTTTAGATGGAAACAAAGAATTCGGTTTACGTGAATCTAAAAATTGTATTCCCGGAGGTGGATATCTTGAATCCATATTTGAATGGATTTTAGCTAAATATCTATCGAGTAGTGTATGGTCTATATTTTCGTCTTTTGTGAAACATTTCTGCTGGATGTTTGTATCATATACTGGAGAATTAGGTACTGGTCTGTCTTGGCCTATCTTTCCACATTCTTCAGTCTTATTATCACAATCAACATTCAGTTGATTTGTTGTCATTCTCCAAATAAATAAAGACAGAAAAGTATTTTTGGTTTTTTATGAAGAATAAATAAATTATGAATGAATTTTAATTTATCAACCAAATCACTGAATAAAAAAAGTAAATCCGTTAAAAAATGATACAAGTAATGTATTAAACTCTAGTGACCTTCACGCGAAGGTCATTTCGATCGATATTTTTAAAAAATAATATACACAAGTCATCGTGAGTGAGTGGGGATGGGGGCGATTATCGCGAGGTGTTTTCGCGCATAATGTTGAAAATTTATCAAGAAACGCATAACAGAGAAAGCAGACAAAGACTGTAAATAAGATGCCTGTATATATATATATATACGACTGTAATTCAAGGGTGACTCACCTTGTGAAGTAATTACGAAAACGTTAAGAAAGTCAGTTCAAAGAACTTTTAGTGCTGACGAAGTAGAATTCTTATTTCCCACACGACCGATGGTGATTTCACAACTAAAAGATGAAGTATCTAGATTAGCTACTTCTTATTGTATCTACCGATTCAACTGCGCTTATGGAGAGAGAGTTATATTGGCCGTCACCGTAGGAACTTGATTTTCCGCGCTCGCTTCCAGATCGATACTAGACCACCTGGTCCAAACTGGCCACAAAGCCAGCATTGAAGAATTCTTCTCTGTCATCTACCGAGTATCAAATAAATTGCCAAAAACATTCAGGTACTGCGTAATTCAAACAGCAGAGGCTGTCACTGAAACAACCAGTGTTCTGTGTGCAAAAGAAGCAAGTTCGGCCATTACTACCGCCCTGGCCGGCCTTCAGTGGAGACTATAAATTCACGAATTTGTATTACTGTTATTATTTTCCTAATATTCCAGTCTGATATTCAGTGTATTGTTATGTTGATGCTATCGAACTGTAATCCATTGATATTATTATTATTATCATTGATTCTATGCTATTTAAACAACATTAATGTCTTTAATAACACTAATTCATTCACTATAATGTATGTATATATAACTGTAGAACCTGATGAAGAAGGCGTTATCGTTAAGAATATTCTTTGTTCAGTAACCATTCTTTTGAAAAAATTTTAATGGGTTTTTGTAATCATTTAAATATAACAAACACTGCAAGTTGGCAGAATATCTTCAAAACACACAAGTATAACATCTGATATGATAATTACAGCATTTTATATCAAGGGGCATAATGCAAAATCAACTACTTGAGGTAATTCAAACCGTAATTGAACACCTCCATTCTGCCTGTACAAGTATACTGAAATGGAAGTGAGACAAGTTTGATTTGCGACAGTTTACATCCTCACCTACTGCATTTAGCAAATTGATTTTTGATATCTTTGGATCACAACGTATATCGTCTTTCTTGAATTTTAATAAATTTGAATCTTTTTCTTGTAATTTGGATAAGATAAGTTTCCCAAAACTAACATTTGGGGATTACCTAGATTCAGCAACTTAGTGGATGTCGATTTAACATTTGGAACAATGACGATACCGTTGCCCAGAAGGATTTTTCATTGTCCTAACTGACAAGTTAAGAAACATGGAGCAATGAAAACTCAAGATACCTGTACCAGCCAGTCATTACCTACAGAGAAAAAAGCTTCAGTTTTTCGTATTCACCGATCAACTGTCCCCTAGTGTTACCGTCAGATACTGAACTTTTCACCTATTTTAGTTAATTATTGAATTGAATTTTTGATTTTCCCGTCGATTGATTGGACCGAAGTGCTCGGTCTCAGGTTGACATGTCGTCTTCTTGTGCAGATGTTTCGACAATGTCTGGGTATTTAATTAGTATACAATTGGTGGATGGTGGCTAGCAGTGGAATCCAGGATGCGCATTTCGTCCTATTTGGGACTCGTCAGCTGGATGTACCTGCATTTCTGAGTGAGTGGTGATGATCCCACCGAGGCTCGAACCCAGTACCCATAGTTTCAAACGCCAAAGCGTTATCCACTAGACCACTTGGGCACGAGAGCCACCTCTTGTGCGACGGGTCATATTAATTATTGAATTGAATTTTTGATTTTCCCGTCGATTGATTGCACAAGAAGCCGACATGTCAACCTGAGACCGAGCACTTCGGTGCGATCAATCGACGGGAAAATCAAAAATTCAATTCAATAATTAATATGACCCGTCGCACAAGAGGTGGCTCTCGTGGCCCAAGTGGTCTAGTGGATAACGCTTTGGCGTTTGAAACTATGGGTACTGGGTCCGAGCCTCGGTGGGAACATCATCACTCACTGAGAAATGCAGGTACATCCAGCTGACGAGTCCCAAATAGGACGAAATGCGCATCCTGGATTCCATTGCTAGCCACAATCCACCAATTGTATATTTTAGTTAATGTATATTTATTAGGGATTACTAAGCGCTGTCATCTTCGAGTAATCCACTACAACAGTGTCATATAACACGTTTTCTCTATTGATGTTGAGTTGGAATAAAATAATTGTGAATTCATATCTTTGTTGGTTTTTTCTATTGCATTTAGTTTATACTACTTATCAATCGTAAGTAGTTAAACATTATCTGCTGCATATAGTTCATTAATATACCCATCTCTCTTGAAGTATGTTTATTTGAATTTCCCTATTCTTTGTGTAGCAATCGCACGCCTTTTAATCTGACACAGCTTCACTGCTTTTCATATTTAATGAACACTGACAGGTCATCCGGCAGCATTCAGCTACAAATATCTCACAATTTTCGGTGGCATAGTGGTTAGGACGCTCGCCGAACATGCATATGGTCCGGGGTTCGATCCCCGGCCGACGCACTGCGCATTTCGCCCTTTTTGGAACTCGTTGGCTAGATGTGCCTGCATTCCGCGCCAAGTGATGATGTTCCCACAGAGACTCAAACCCAGTGCCCGCAGTTCCAAACGCCCAAGCGTTATTCACTGGACCACTTGGGCCACGAGAGCCACCTCTTGTGCAACGTGTTATATTAATTATTCAATTGAATTTTACGATTTAATTGGTGGATGGTGACTCGATATGAAACGATATTCAACTGTCTAGAAATCCTCCTAGAATCAACCCACTTAACAGTTATAAAGGTAATTAAGAACACAATATTTAGCGAAGAGACTCTTCTCAACGAATTCATTATCACGTTGTACTATCGTATATGAATATGGTTTTCTTAGGAAATTATACCCGGTGAGGGAATTAGGTCAAAGTTGTGAATATATGAAATAGTTATAGTAGAATGAAATGCAATTAAAATATTTGTGATTATAATCATAGTTTAATGTCAAGTGGCAAAATAATTAGTCATATATGGAATAATACATAAGGTGCATAGATGTTGGAAAGGGGTGCATAATTATATGACTACTAGACGAATACAAAATGTGACATAATATGGTGTGAAATTTGATAAGATAGAATTCAAAGTTGTAAAAACAAAAAATTGTAACTTTGTATTTAGAATGAAAAGTGGGATTGAGAGATAAGGGTGCATAGAATATCTAGGTAAACAAAATAAATAAATGTCTACCTCTCTACGTCCAAGGCAGAAGTAGGAATTGTACATACTTCTTTTGTCCATAAAGCTCTGGCTTAAAGTCATGAATTGCCAAGGCTTCCGCTGTCTTTAGAAGTCTGCAACGTGGCAAATTAGCATGGATTCGGTAGATGATCTTAAAATCGTGGTCTGGGTTGGCAGACTGACAGGAGTTGATCAACAGAGCTTCACACACACTTCCTTTCTACCTTGTAAAACCATGCTGGGATACGTCCTCGTATCCGTGTGAAAGCTTCCTCTGGCTACGGCCAAAATACCTTGCTCCACAAGAGCAGGTGAACTGATAGATGCACATAGAGGTGGCCAGACGGGAGAGCTTATCTTTCACAGAGATAGAGAACAACTTGCGGCTGGTGAACGTCATTTGTAATTTTGCTGCAAAGTAAGCCTTACTGACTGCTTTCGAGAGACGGTTTTTGGGCATATCTGAAGTTCGATCACCTTTGAACTCCGAGTTCATGAAAAAGGCTTTCTGTGGAAGTGAGTTGGTGACCAGTTTGAACTGTTTATCTTTCGTGTTCCTGTCAGTAAATCGGTTCGGGTAACCTTTTTCTGCGAGTGTGGCTTTTAAGAAGCCAAGTTCTGAGTCGACGCAATCAGAACTACAAATGTTCCTTATCCTAAAGCAGAGCGAATAAATTAGGTTCCTTATCGTGGTGATAGGCACCCAACTATAAAAGTTAGTTAGTTATCCGTTCCATGTACGTTTCCAGTGGATAGATCTTTTGAGAGATCCATCATTTCGTCTGCTAAGGCACACATCAAGAAACAGAATACTAAGTTCAGATTCCCTTTCTATGGTGAATTGTAAAGAAGGATGGCAGTTGTTGAAAGCACACAAGACATCATCAAGAATTACGTTATAATCGCAGATGACGAAAGTGTCGTCTACATATCTTTTATAAATGTCGAAATAATCGATGGTCTGACTAAGTTGGGAGTTTTCAAACTTTGCCATAAAACAATCAGCCAGCAAAGAACCCAATGGTATTTCCATTTCAATGCCATCTCTCTGTGTAAAACTCTCATTTCTGGAAGTGAACTGAACATTCAACGTACATCTTAATAAAAGTTCTTTGAGATCGATTGTCGGCAACACTATTTCTAAACTATGTGTATCAATATAATCACATAAATAGCAAACAGTTTCCATAAGAGGTACATTGGTAAATAGCGAAATCACATCTCACGAGAACATGACTTTGTCTGAGACATTAAAATCTTTAATGCTATCAATAAATTTAAAAGTATCATCAATGGAAGACTTAGACACTTAACTTCTAACTGGTTCCAGTATTTCAGCTGTCAGTGAGAGATTCCGTGATAAGGAGAACCCACCATATCGAGAATTAGACGAAGGGGTAATCCTGTCTTGTGAATTTTTGGTAGTCCTTACAAACGTGGTATTATGGAGCCTACTGGTCGGATGCGTTTATATATATGTATAAAGGTCGGCCACT